AAAAAAAAAAAAAAGCAGAAGAAGAAGAAGGAAAAAAGAGAAAGCCCTCATAAATAGGTAAGTTCATTTGCTGTGGATCTGTGGGAACCCATTTTTTTCCCATCCTGCTCTGACTAAAAGCACACGCTATGCAAAGGAAGGCCGCAGAGGATGAATGAGCGCAGGAAGTGCTCGCTCACTAAGCCTGGTGTGTGGCAAAGAGTGAGGACGGGCCACAAAGCCTCCCTTTGTACCGGAGCTTTCCTCTCTGTGGGGGCTGCACTAATCTCCTATTAATAAAAAAAAGAAAGGATGGAGCAAAAAAAAAAAAAAAAAAAAAATCACTGAGCAACAAGCAGGACAGGGAGGATGAAGCTGGAGCGGCGAGAAGTGGCCTGTGATGTAAACGGCGTGCCTGCTGCAGATAACAACGGGCCCAGATGGACGCACAAGAGCTCATTGTTGCCACTTGTCAACATGCTGCGGTGATACACATCGTCTACGTCAGCCGGGCTCTATAGACAAATCTGCATGTGCTTGAGATCCGTTGTACAGGTTATAAATATGTCAGGTCGTGGAGCGTACCCTGGTGAAGTTCCCCTCGAAGCTGTGGATGTCCAGCTGAGGCTTCTGGGCATAGACGAAGGCGCTGATCGAAAAAAGGTCCTGGAAGAACAAAGGAAAAAAAAAAACAGATTTTAACTCAACTGCTGGTTTAAACAGACACAATAGGTTAGAAAGACATCATCTATTATCTTTGGATAATAGAGTTTTGATAATGGAACTTGGATTTTTATTTATTTATTTTTTGGGAGGGTTTCATTTGTTTCACTTTTAGCACCTTTTGTTAGGCTCCAAATTAGCTTCACCTAGCAACATTTTGGTTTTTATTTTTCCTCTTAAAGTACAAAGTATCTAAACCGTGAGTGAACCTAAAGAACAACTGTGTTTAAGGAAGTATTTAAAGCTTCATATTTAAGTTCCAGACTCCTACGTTTTACACAAATACCATTCATTAACAAAGACCAAACTGAAAACCTCAGATAATTAACACCAACCAATCCAGTCCGACTGTCTCTCACCAGGACGACAGACTTCTGTCAGTCGTCCTGGTGACCCGTCAGTGACCCATTTCGCAGCCTTTCTCAGGCAGAGTGGAGAGAACATTGATTGTAAACATTAAATTATTCAGGGCGGCGGGTTGACGGGCCTCAGTCATGCTCAGATAGTGTTCTCCTGGTGAGAACATGGGCAGAGTGGTTACAGAGGAGCAGGGCAGATTATTTTACTGAAACCCCAGCGGAGGGTAATATTGCTGCAGAGGTTATTCAGGCGTGGGGTCAGAGACTGGCAGGAATCTTCACACGTTCACAGACAGCGATGCGGCTGAGCGACACCGCTCGGCCACGACGAAGAACGCCATCTCAAACAGACGGGAACGACAACTGAGTCTATTAGAGTAAATGTTTTTGGATTTACATTTGTTTCAGACGCACGTAAACACTTGGACAGCAGCTCCGTGGAGACAGAGAGTGGACGTGAGACAAGTTACACAGGGTTTTAAAGATGGGGTAGGTGACCTCCGTCTTCACAATCAGCTGTAGTTTCAAGTTCTGGTGTGAACACCAAACACAGAACCAAACCAAACAGAACAGAACTGAACAGAAGAGACGACGTCACTGGATGTCGACTCTTACTATTCACCGTGATAATAAATCCATACCCCCACTGCTGGCAGCCTCTGTGTGCAGCACACGGCCACCTTCAGTTTCCAGTCTGTCTCTCCGTCCAGCTGATCTGTTTTGATGAAACACGCTCCTGGAAACAAAGGTGAAGAAAAACATATATATTAAACATCTCATGGTTGTTTTATCATTTACATGAGGAGAGAAGTAGAGTTTGGTATTGTTTTCACAAAATAAATAGTAAAAGAAATCACTTAAGTTACGACTTAAGAGTTTGGTATTGTTTAGTATTGTTTTCACAAAACAAATAGTAAAAGAAATCACTTATTAAGTTATGACTTTCAATTTGATCTTTTTTTGCTTTCAAAAGGAATTAAACGTCAAGATTTACTGCAACTTTAAACTAATTTGATCTAATATATACAAATTAATATTTGGTCAATATATTCATATAATACAATATACATACAATATATAATATATGCCAGTTTAGGTTAGCACCTGTGAGCTCTAAAGCCTTGGTGGATCTGACACTTATATGAAATGGACTCCAGAAAAAGTCCAGAAAATATGGTTTAAAAAAACCCACAACTATTTCTTTACAAAGATCATTAAGAACTGCACAGAAAACTCACAAGTTTCTGTTTTATTCTACACTAACAACACAGCAGCTGTGGATCAGAGTCTGTCTGTGTGTGTGTGTGTGTGTGTGGACCACAGTGTCTGATAAACGCGTGGCTGCGGTGACCTGCATTGATCTGAGGTAATATTACATATGAAACTGATGGATGTGAGCAACATATTTGACAGAGGGGCTAAAGGGCGGCCGTAAAGCACCCACGGAGGGTTAAGTATGATGGAAAACATTAACACAACAAGGATGATTCATGCGTCTCCCCGCGCTGCAGCGGCACGGCTGCTTCTCACATAACACAACACCGCTGCAGTTGGTGTGTGTGCCTGCGTGTGACTGCGGGCGTGAGAGAGAGTGTTTATGTCTGTGTGTGTCAGAGGCATAAAGACATCAACACTGCCCCCTCCACCCAACCGCCCCACCCCCCTGTCAGGCATATTGACACACGGGTGATTGATGGAAATGATGTCCTCAGAACGTTTCCTGCCGATGCCCCCTGTAGGAGAGCGCCAGGCTCTGGCACGGCACACATTGATTAATTGGCATTTGCATCATCAGTCACTTGGACAACGCAAAATACCTCATATGAATGACACGCTGCCCTGATCGGACGATGTCAGGGAGGACGGAACGTGTGAGAGGAAAGTCACATTTATCAACAAAAAAAAAAAAAAAACATCCTGAGAGGCAAAGGTCACAGGAAGTTCAAATGGACAGAGTTCTGGCCGTAAATGAAACGATCGTTCTGTGGAGTGAAAGAAATTGGACTCACCAGTTTTCTCTGACGTTCTCAGGAATATCATGTCTGCAGGAATCCTTTGGTGCTGCAAGAAGAAGTAGAAGAAGAAAAAGATCAGATCCATGAGTCAGTAAACATAGAGAGAGAAAACACTGGATCTAACCATACACTTAAATATCGCAATGTTCAGTTTCCTGATACCGTATCAATATTCTACAGCACTGTATCATTTTTTTTATCTCCAATTCCCAGTCCAATATTCCTGGTGTTGGTTCATGTTCGTTTTCTTTTCTTTGTTCTCTAGTGATTCCAAATGTAGATCCCTCTGTTCCAGAGTTAGGAACTGATGTTCAGATGGAACAGAGTCTGAGACTATTTGACTACAATTAAACTCTTAAAAAAAAAAAAAAACTCAGTATATCGCCATACCTATATTATTGCCTAATACTGTATCATTGCCCGTTTCCTGCCATTGCGTTAAAACGTAAAAATTCTCATCTGATTTATTGAAACAAATTAATAAACGTTATTAACCACAGTCACAATGTAATTCAATACCTTTTCAACAATGATCAGGTCTCCAACTTGTATGTCTGAACTCTTCACGTTAAAACTACCTAAAAAAAAATAAAATAAAAAAATAAATAAAAATGACTTCATAGTTAGCGTGTTACAGAACGAGGCCGGAAAACATAAAAACATCGATTCCCGGAATTTTGTCTTATTGCTCTGTGTTTCCTCTCATTCCCACAGATTGATTACTTTCAGCATGTTACTGTAACAGCCCACTGTTAGTTTTCGCGTCTGATTCAGGCTCATTATTGCTTCAATATTGATGCGGCAGCGTCCGCTGGGAGGAGACTCAGTAGGAAACAGTGTGTGAAAGATGCATCTTAAACAATGGCCACAAATATCAGCAGGGATTTCACCAGGAGGACAGATCTGGGTTCATACGGTCTTCAGAAGTCAAGAGACGCCGAGAGGGAGAGAGGGAGAGAAAGGGGGAGGGAGGGAGGAAATCAATGCAATTACAGCAAGACGAATGACTTCAGTTACAAGTGCAGATCCAGAGAGGTGCCGTCTCTAAATTGCACGGGGAGCAGCTCGACAAGAAAGAGAAAAAAAAAAATCCCTTATCATAAAGTCAGCAAACAGTTACTGGCAGAGCGGGACGGTGGCTCAGTGGGCTCCACTCACTCACCCCTCACTGTGAGTTTGCTGTACAGCTGCGAGTTCATCTCCTTGTCTCGCTGGTAGCGTCGCACCTCGTCCACCGCCTCACGAACCATGGTGACGGTCAACACAAACACCTGGGAATCAGAAGGAAGAAGTCAAATAAAATGAACCAATAAAATAAAAAGAAAGGATAAATAACAGATTTCTGATGCGGCGGTTTGTGGGCCGTCAGTTGATAATTAGTGATCTACAATTTAAAAGTTTGTTTTTCCACACAACAGAGTTCTCAGAACAGATGCCCGAGGGCATCACAACAAACTGTGTATTTACCAAAGGCACCCAGTACGTGTACAAATATCCAATTTTCAGGGACGGCACAAACTGAGACAAGGCAACCACCAGGAAGTAGAGGTTGAGGAAGAACTTGAACTGGTTGTAAAGAACCTGAGGAAGAGACGAGGAGACAAAACAGATGACTTTTCAAATGGACTTGATGTCAGCGGGGGAGCGGGATCTCAACTTTTCTATTCATTTAAGGTCAAATTTTGAAAAATGTTTGCCATAATGAGACAGCAGTGGTCGCACACAGACAATGTGATCAATGGATAATGCGTTACAGTTAATGAAGCCCCCTCCTCCAGTTCCCCTACGACCTTTGAGGGGAAGAAAAGACTCACTGCTGAACTCAATTTGTGTGTATTTAATAATTCAAAGTGGGAGGAAGAAGAAGTGAGCGGTCGATGGGGAAACCTACCTTTCTAATGGACGCTTGACATTTTATGGCCCGAGCCAAAGGTGGTCCTTTTAATCATGGAACCATTTGCTTTTTAATAAGTAACTAATGGATCCCTAATGCCAGCGTTAACATAATGGCAGCACGGCTAACGACTAGATTGAGCACGTTAGCCTTCATTACGTGCTGTTAATCTGAGGGAATATCAAGTGGTTTTAGAGACTGTAAAAAAAGTTCATAAAAGTGGAAGAAACAACAGGAAGAAGTGAAGTGTTCAAGTCAGAGTTACTGTTTAAGACTCTTGATGTGAAGGGTGTAACATAAGAGGATTGTGTTTTTTGTCGTGAACTCACCCCAGGCACGAAGGTGAAGAGGTTGTACTTCTGGTTTTTGATAGCGTTTTTGGGAAACTTTTCCTCACATTTCTCCGGATGGCCGAGCCAAACCGTCCGGGCCTTCAGCTCCTTCTTCCGCCGAAATATACGGGCTAGACATTCACAGCAGCTGGGTGGAAAAACAACAAACAAACAAACACACACATGATGTAAAGGTGTGTACACACAACAGAACAACTGCACATTAAACAGTAAAGGTCCGACGTGTCATAATCACACAACGGTTCTTGTCAGTGTTGGTACAAACCCTGTCATATTCGCCTCTAAAATCGTCCTGTCGCTTCACTAGCAGCTCAACACACAACTGCTACTTCACACATTTACAACAGCGACTTAGTTTAAAGTGACAAATCAGTAGCTGAAGGACCTGAACAACCAGTTTAGGCTGAAAATGAAAGGAAGAGGTGTTTTGTTTCCAGGTGAACGACCAGGGTCAACAACATGGACCGACAGTTAGACTTTCTGCAAATAGTGTAGAAAACACACTGGGAGGCGGACACTCAAATAAACTGAATTTAAACACACAAAAAAAAAAATCACATTTTTGTCTATCGGAAAGTAAATAGAGTCATTAAATAATCTGGATTACTGACTGAATAACAAATACATTTATCTGAAATACAACAATAACAATAACCCGACAGCTTCATCTATTTAAACACACCTGAACTTGGATCCTCGTCCTGGATCCTGGTTCACTCGCCTCTGCTGTTAAATCAATCACCGTCCTGCTCCACCCTGCCCTCTGGCTGTTATTTACACCCCTGGACTTGTCTCCGTTGAGTACATCTCTCAGACGTCTTTTGATGCAATATTTTGAAGAAGTCCATTTCCTGTAGAAGTTGTAATGATCTCAATAACTTTAGCAACAGAAGGGTGAATTTATGGCTGAGGCAGTGAGAGTCCAACAGCAGCAGCAGGCAGAACGCCAGCCGCTCCGCTGCATATATTTACCTTTGTTTTCATCTCCTGTCCTAACATCGGAGAGCTCTAAAAATATTATTGATGTGCAAAACTCCAAAAAGAGATTAAAAAGAGAGGAGGACGGATTTTATCGTCACTTTGTATAAAAAGTATTTGACTTTCCGTCAACTTGTTATTGACTACGTGGGGGCTTATCTGGCATATCTGATATTTAAAGCAAACAGCAGCGAGGCTGGGGGGGGGTGCATTTCAATGAGCGTGGCACAAGGTGAGCAGCGAGGGCAGCGAGGGCGGGTGTATACCGTCATGCTGAACGACTTGGCTTTTCCACGTTTTAAGCAGGTTGGCAACACTGGAGGTTAAATAAATGAACTTTTGGTTGAAAAGTTCTGTTTGTGTTGGCCTCTCTGTACGCACCGTCGGTCCAGATTCATAAGAGAGATTATTTGAGCAAATGAATGCTATTCAAATAATAGAGGGTTTGAACAGTCTGCGGCTTAGTCAGCCTGAATTATTTGTGTTTTATAATCCTGCGCTAAGCACACAGAAAATTACTGGAAAGCATCAAACTGATCAGCTGTGAAAAATCCGATTTGTCCATTAGTGAGGAGGGGCGGGAGGTGGAGGTGTGGGGGTGAGGGTGAGGGGGTCAATATGCAGCTCTAACTGGAGACGTGTCGACAAAACAAAACCACAACAAAAACTACTGAAATACTTCCCTGGCAGTGACGTGCTGCTGCTGAACAGTGGTTTATTAGTTTGAATCTTTATTGTTCTGGCAAAAACAAACACTGGTCTCTGGGCCAGAGAGAAGGACGCATGCAGAGGACAAAACCTGTCATGTAAATCATTAACGGGATAAACTGCGCCACCGTTGTCTTTGACCTGAAAAATCATCTTTTCAAAAGATTTTTTTTTTATGATGTGCATCAAGAGATTCAACCATAAATATCCTCTGAACCTTATTTCCTCTTCACACAGACTGAAGTTAAATGAGTAGAAGTGTAATAGAAGACTAGCTTATTTTCCATTACCATGACTGAAACTTGTTGATTACCAACATATATTGAACTGGGAACAAGCCAAAACCTGCTAAATTAAATGTTAAATATTAGTTTTGCAACATAATTGAGAAAACATATCTACAAAAATTAGACTTTTCTGTATTTTCTCTCTGTATTTATTCTGGATTTATGAGTGATAGTTTTATTTCATGTATTTTCTCTCTGTATTTATTCTGCAGAGTGGTAGTTTTATTTCATTTGACATAACACTATTCAAAAACAAAATTTAAAAACATTTTTATCTTAATTTACAAGTTTCAAAGGTCAAGAATCCAGGCTGTAATTTTACCGTTTTACAAGTTTCAAAGGTCAAGAATCCAATTTTACCGAATCATGGTGAAATCATTCACAGTCCAGTTGTAAAAAAAAAACAAAAACAAAAAAAAACTTCATTTTTATTATCTTTTTATGACATTTTACCTGTGACCAGCAGGACTACGATTCCCGGTTGAACATGCTGCTCTTTGTCTGACTGTGTCGTGTGGGGTGAATTTATTACTGTATATAAAATATGAATTACCTTCCACAGAGGACCTTCCAGCCTCCAAGTAAAAACCAGCCCAGGCCTCTGTGCCTCTGATTAACTCTGGCGTGGGGCAACGTCTGATAGTCGTTTTCATCGTTCTCAAAACCTTCCTCGGACATCATCAGAGGCATCTCATCCAGGTTTGATGCCTCATCTTCCAGAGAATACCTTTGAAGAAATTAAGTCGGACTTGTTTTAAAAAATAAAATCTAGTATTTTTGCAGTACCTTACAAGTACCACCAGTGGAAGTTTTAAAATAGTGTACCTCATAAAACAGTTTTAATTTATTCCCATCCAAAAATACTTTATTACTTTGACTGATAGATGTGTGAAAATCATACAAACCTACCAAAAATCTACTGTATTGGTGATTTCAAGTCTTTTATATCTGATTTTGAGCTTGTCTATGTGTCATCTCTTTCCCGTCTTAGTCTTATTATGTAACTGCAAACGTGTTAATGTCAACAACAATTATAATAGTGTGTCTGTGCAACGTCAGTAAAATCAACAATATTTTATATTGTAAATGTTATGAATAGGCTGCATTTCAATGAAAGATTTGAAAACATACAGAAATAAACTATGACACTGTTTTATAAATACGTATATGCCAAGTTTTTAGAAATTATCTTTGTAAAAGATATCCAAAATGTACCACTTATTTTAAAATTATATTTTTATATGTCAGCTTATATGTACATACCATATGACTTGTCTTTAGTTGTAAAAAAAAAAAGTACATACCATATGACTTGTCTTTAGTTTAATAAAAAAAATTTTTTATTTATATCTTGACAACTCTGTTGTGTCGTAATCATGCAGAACATCTGACCAGCTGACGATAATAAAGTGTAGTCATGTGACTTTAAGTTATAATGCTTTCCATAAAACCGTGTCACTTACGTATGACAAACCACAATGTGCTTTAACAACATATAATAAGTAAGTATTTGTAAAATACAACTTATTCCAAAAGTAAGAGGTGCGCTGTCAAAGGACGAGAACGTTGAACTGTCAACTCGAAGTGTTAGCACACAATGCTAACTGCTGTAGTTTAAACATAATTACGGGGCTTAGGAGATAAAAACAACAAAATGTTCACCATTAACATAATAGGCAGTTTTCTTCTGCCCACTGGTAAAAGAAAAAAAACCCTCCAGGCTCACCATACCTTGAAAGTCTGGCGGAGTTGTAATACTTAACCCTCTTCGAGCTACTTCGCACCGGATTCAGAGGGATGCTGTCAGCCATCTTGGCTGGGGGAGTGGATGTCGGTGACGTCACAGGGGAAAATACGGCGGCGCGAGTGCTTCGTTCATGAACAGCCCCGGGAAATTAGAATTAGAAGACGATAAATGCGAATTTGGGTCCTAAAATCAATTTTGTGACGTTTTCGTTTAAATTATTTAATCTGTTACACCATCGCTAAATTACGTATTGGATCTTTAAAAAAGAATCGAATTTAAAATCTAGAAACAAAAAATAAATCTGTAGTATTGGTTTAATATACCTGGTAAGACGGTTGTCGTAATAAAGCTACTTGAATGCACCACATGTACATACACACGCTGTATATAAAAAATACAATATTTTTAAGGAATATAATTTATGTTTTATATTTTTTTTCACATTTAAAATTACTTTTTAGTTTTTAGCTACTTCCAGAAAAGGATTTGGCTCATAATTTCACATTTACTTTTGCTAAACCTTTATCTTTCTTGGCTAACTCCCAACTTTAGAATAACCTTTTTGGATAGGTTATTTTTTGAAAAATCACAACACGTAGCACAGAGTATTTTTTTCCAGTAAATAATATGAACATACAGACATTTCATTCAGTGTGGTTTTTTTTTGTTTATTCAGACATTTCATTCAGTGTGGTTTTTTTTTTGTTTGTTTATTCGGTCCAGCTTCTTGTTGTGGATAAGACTTTCTTACCAGAAACACTGACAACACACCGTTGCAGAGTGTAGTTGTAGGGATGTAGGATCAGACCTTGTGCTTTGCAGCGTTGGGCAGCTGTCTGCAGGAAATAGTTGTCCTTTTGAATTATTGATGCAAACATATGTTCATACATCTGAGCACCGTAGGAATTCTCAGGTACGCGTTGGACTGCGTTTATGTCTTTAGAAAAACATTCACAAATGACTGGAAAGAAAATAGCAAAATGTGAATGTCCTGCTCTCCACACACAATGATAAAAAGTTATTTTTTTAAAAACACAATATATAATACATAAGAACAAACTTTAGTTTTTACAAATATTTTATTGTCCTGGATATTTTGCATAAGTAGTAAATCATAATATTCAGCTTCTCGGTCAATTAATCCCAATGTCTTTGCTGTCGTCGATCAGCAGAGAAAAGTGTCGGTCCATGCCAGTCTTGGTGAGACTTGGTATTGAATTTCCTGCGGCGCTCACTCTGTCCATGCCTGCAGTCAGAGGGTGAAGCTGAGAGATGCCTCGGTTCTGAATCACTGAGATCTCGTTGCTCTTCATGGCCAAGCTGTTGGTGATAGCTGTTGCGTAGCGGTTCCAAAATCCAGCGTCTACATTCATGGCTCGAGCAGCCAGGTCCTTCTGGAACATCTCCCCGAACTTGGCGGCCTCTCCGCCCAGCAGGGCCATGGGGTTGTCCACTGACAGCCGCCTGCCCCTCCTGGCCGGTGCATTGTTCCACATGTGGGTCCCCATGTGAACCTGAAAATGAGAGGAAAATCGATTGACACCTTTTTCTTTGGCCATTAAGATTCATTCAGAAAAGAAGTTTCCTTTTTGCCTCTGTGTGGCTGCTTTTTGTGTAATTTAGGATCAACTGTTTTCTTTGTAATTTTTTTTTGGCATGTACAGTTTTATGAGATATTTTTTAGGTATTTGTAGGCAATTAGTAAATAAACTTAGTCAGTGTTTTGGTTTGTTTTGTCTAAGATATACCATATATACCATATATACTATATATATATATTTATAAATAAAACGTTAAACACAGGCTAAGGTTCAGCTCTCTCTAGGTGATTCAAAATGGTTAGACATTAAGATATTTCAGGGCTAACTTTTAGCTATATTTATAAAAGAATAATAAAATCTAAGAGTGACCTCGGAGAAGTTCAGCGGTTTTTAATTTTCAAACTTTCAGTTAACATAACACATATTGCGGACCCCAAACTCACTAATATCTATCTGAGTGTTTTGTCTAAGATATACCATATATACTATATATACTATATATATTTACCTTTAAATTGCCTTTAGTTGTAAAAGCTCTCCCACAGATGGAACAGACGAAGGGTTTCTCTCCAGTGTGTGTGCGCTCATGGATCTGGAGGGCGCTGGCCGAGGAGAAGTTCTTCCCACAGGCGCTGCAGTTGTGCTGCTTGGGCGTCCGTCGTGGAGGTGCCGGGCCGAGGAGCGACGTCACCGCAGGGCTGCTGACTAACGGATACGCAGCGGGGATGTGCACAGTGAATGGAGGCTGATGGCCCTCACTGAGGCCATTCACCTCAGTTTTGACCACAGCTGGTGACGTGTTGGTGGCCAGGCTGGGGGTGGTTTGACCTGTGGAGTGAAATCAGAGCGGATGAGTGGGAATGGTGCCGATGAGAGAGAACACGTCATGAACCTAGCATGTCGTGCTAACTGTACCTCTGTCTCTGCTCGGCAGGAAAGACAAATTGTAAGGACTTTCTTCTTTCACGCCGTGTTTGATTAGTTCTGCTCCCCTCAAGTCCTGGAACGTTGAGGGGAAAGACGCACAGGTCGGAGATTCAGATTCCTCCTTCTTCACCGTCGCGACCAAACGCTCTCCAGAGTCAGGCCTGCTGACCTTGACTTCAGGGGATTTGATCGTCATGTTGTCAGAGACGCTTTGGATCGGAGACGTGGAGGCGTGAGGCAAGCTGGAAGATTCAGACACATTTGGGACGATGGAGGGTGAGTTCTCCGTCACGGCACATCTAATGTTAACGGAGCTGCTGTCAATGAGACCATTTGTTAGGGGTTTAACGCCAAATGAGTGGTTTAAACTGTGGCCTGAGTCAATCATCCTCATCTGGTTTTCCAGGGCTGCCAGACTTGAAACAATGGAAAATGCCTTAGGAGGAGAATTACAGTCTGGGATCAGGAGGTTTGGGGGGGTCTCATCGTCCTTCAAGATTTCCTCTACTTCCTCTTCCTCGATATCATCCTCCATAGAAATATCATCAGTGAAATCGTTGCCGTTGCTGCTAAGACTGTCAAAGTTGGTCCCGTTGACAGACACGTCGCTGTCCATGTCCTGCACGCCGTCCACGAGTGTGGAGTCTGGGATGTGGCCCACCATGTGCAGCCTAATGTGCTGCTGAAGAACAACGGCGTTGGTGAACTTCTTCTGGCAAATAGGACAGGAGTGCTGCACCTGAACCGGAGGATTCTCCCTGTGAACGCCGACGTGAGTCTTCAGGTTACCTTTGGTGGTGAAGGCCCTGCCGCAGACTTTACACTTGAACGGCCTCTCTCCGGTGTGGATGCGGTAGTGCATCTTCAGGGCGCTCTGACAGCTGAGGACGCGGTGACAGAGCACACACTGGTTGGGGTCAGTGATCTTTTTGTCGATGTTCTCCACCAGCTGCTGGAGCTTTGAGGTTTCGGAGGTTTGCATAGACTCCAGGAGCCCACCGGAGGGCGACTGAGTTCCGTCAGAGGTCAGAAGCCCAGGCGAAGACTTGGGCACGGGCGAGGCCGAGGTGGCTGGTTCGGGGGTCGCGGCCAACGTTGGGATGGTGGCGCTGCTAGTGTTGGTGAGCGGGGTGGATCTGGGCCTCGTGGGGCAGCTCCGAGGCAAGTGAGCTCCGTCTGTTTTCAGAAGAGTGGACGCGTCCGTCTCAGGGCTAGACTGTGAAACGGGAGAGAGATGAGCCTCGCTGCCTCTGCGATCGGGGGACAAAGACGCACATTCACCAGTCGACGGCTGGTATGAAGACTTATCGGATGGTGTTACACTTACAAGGTCACTCGAGCCTCCGATACTGGTAATAGTGGAGGAGAGGGGAAGACCCAAACTGACCGGCAGAGTTGCTAAGCTGGGTTTGCTCTCCATCCAGGAGGTGACGGGTTTCTCTGGAGGCACGGTCATTCCGTAGGGAATCCCAGAAGTTGTTGGCACATTGTCTAGATACTCTGGCACCGGGTAAGGGTTCATCTGGATGTGAGGGTACTTCTCTTTATGCCTCTGGAAGTGAACCTTTAGGTTTCCCTTTGTGGAGAACCGATTGCCGCAGATGTTACACTTGAAGGGCCGCTCTCCTGTGTGTGAGCGCAGATGGATCTGCAGAGCACTGTCACTGCCAAACACTTTGGCACAGAACCGACATTTATGCTTGAAGAAGGGTTCCTCCGGACTGGGCTTGGACTCAAACAGGGACACGCTCGACAGTTTCCCTTTTCTGTGCTTCATCAGGGCGGCGAGCGGGTCGAGTGCATTCGCCGTGGCAGCGATGCTAGCTAAATGATTGGGGAAGATGACACTGCTGGGGGGGCTCTGAGGTAGAAATGGCAGGCTGGAGGGGGCGCTGAGGAGGCCGTTCTGCCCCAGTGACAGTGAGCTGCTGGGAGAGCTCAGCGTGGGAGTGTTCTGTGAGGCCGTGTACGGAGGCAGCAGCGATGACATGTGGCTCACGATGCTGCCGCCGCCGCCGCCGCCGCCTCTGGGTAGAGATGGAGCTGATAACTCAGAGGAGGCTGAGGTACGAGTTACATCCCTACAGCTGGACGTCTCACACACAGACTTCGAAGGGACGGGCTGTGACCTCTCCACCACAGACGGCATGGACACAGCAGCCTGACCGTTAACGGACGAAGGCATGGTTCCCGAAAGAGGCAGGATGGGAGGAGGAGGAGGAGGAGGAGGGGGGACACTCTGGGAAGGAAAAGGGTTTGGTGCCAGAGACAGGGATCTGGAGACAGGATTTAAAGCAGCTTGCGTCGGGTGCCTGTTCATGACCGCCACCTGGCTGCAGATCTGCTCAATCAGCTGCAGCTGGTGAACCTGTTGCTGCTGCAGAGCCAGCAGGTGCTCCAGGATGACTGGGATGGCCGCGGACGCCGATTTACCTCCCGACCCGCTGCCGTGGATCCCCTGGGAGAACTGAGCTACGGCCACTCTGGTGCTGTGGAGGATCTCCAACGTCACGTTGGTACTGGGAACGCTGTAGCTGTCTGCTGCAGGCGTCTGAGGGAACGTGGACTGGGCCGAGTCTGGAAGCCTGGGACTGGCTGTGGAATCGTACGTCTCCACAGGATGACGCTCCACCTCCATGGCTTCATCCGCCTCGGGGCTTTCTTCCACGTTATCCGAGCTGCCGTCATTGGCCGGCATCTCTCCTACATCGAAACACACGTCTGTGGACTCCTCCGGAGAAGAGACGCTGGAGGCGACGCTCGGAACCGGGGAGGTTCCCGCAGAAGACTCCTGGTGAACTTCGTTGTCTTTGACTATCAGCACCAGAGGGTCGTCGGTGCAGACTGCGTGGTGTTGGCTCAGTTCAGTCCATGTGAAGAACTCAGCACAGCATTTTTCACAGATGTGTGTGTCCTCACTGCTGTGGCATCCTCTGCTGCTCTGCCCTCTCCCTCCGACTTCCACAATGCCTGAAAAGGAAACAAAATAAGATTAAAAAACCAGAGAATTCACACACACACACACACACACACACACAGAGGGCCCTGACAAATGTTATGTGCGGACAGGCATCGTTCAGAAACCCACCAAACTCCAAATTCCACCCAAGATCTCAGTGTGCCCAAAGATAATAAACACATCGCGCTCCACTGTGGAGATGGTTTCGAGGAACATTGTTCCAAACACATCTGGAAACATTTCATTTCAAGTCAGTAAAAAGACGTCTGTGTTTCGTCCACTACACAAATCTGACTAAGTCACAGTCCACGGAAAATATATCATTCTTAAACCGACCGTCACGTATTTATATTCAACAGCCGGAGTTCAGAAACTGGAGAGCTTTTTTTTTTTTACCAACTGTCAATGTATATGATACGAAAACACCAGGGTGGAAGTGCATTAACACCAACATGTAACACTCAACAGATTTGGTTTTAACCTTATTATTCATCAGTATTTATTTGAACATATTCAGATTGTTGTCATCTCTGCCAGAATCAACAGAAATCAATGGGTTTTTCTGACATTTCCATTGTGACCTCAGACAATCCTGGACCATTGATCTTCTGTTGATTGACACCTCACACTAACGCTGCTGCTCATCTTTCACAAGCAACTGTGGGATTAAAAAAAAAGAAAAAATCTCAATCTTAAACTTAAACATTATTTTTGCTGCCATTAGCCTGAAGGACGAGGACTGAGGCCGCTAGAGGTTTGGTTGATGCTAATATTTCCCCACAATTTTTTTTTTTTTTGAGCACTTACCATTTTTTCAGAGAAAAAAAAAACTTTCAATCCAATGTTGTTTTTTTTTTTTGAGCACTTACCATTTTCAGAGAAAAAAAAAACTTTTAAAAACTGTCAATCCAATGTTAAAATGTTAATTCTGGATTTATGGAAATGGGAGCAGAACAGTTTGAAAACCCAAACCCTCGTGGGTGACTTATTTTATCAGTATGAGCCAAAGGATTTCATCCAAAAAATTGTTCCAAAAAATATCCAACTTATTTGACATTATTTCAGTTTCCTCTCTTCCCCATACTGAGTCTGGGGGTGGGGGGGGCGTGAGTGTGTGTTACATTAATTTACTATTGATTCCCTCCTGATCTTTCCATCTGTTACTGCTGTCTGTTTCCTAATGGGCCACAGCCTGAACAGATGATACTGAAACTCTAACGTCACGGAGCAGATCCTCACAGAGGACAAAGGAGAACGAGGTGTCAGAAGATCCAGGTCTCACAGAACCACAAAACCAATCTCTACCATTTCAGGTGATTCACATCCTAAACGCTATCACCAACTCACCGGTCACGATGCCTTTGTCGTAAAAACTTTAAAACTTCATTGATTTTTCCTAAAACAATACAGTATAAAGTCGTCGATATAGAGTGTCATTTTTTTTTTGATGGCCTGCCTGCAGTGCAGATGTTTCTCCCATTGAAAACACCTGGTCGATCACTATCAGTAATAACTGACAACAGTAGCTCCGTTTTTTTTTTTTTTTGCAATAATGGAAAAATGTCGGAATAATATTTATAAGATTATATAATACAGAATAATATTTCTGTGGAAACAAAATGAAAAAAAAGTTTAACTCTTAAGTTGGGCTTTAAGATTATTATAATTTATATCATGTAAAACGTGGTGATAATTGCTGAACTTAATCATACAATTTTTACGCAATTATTTTGATTTTTTTAAAAAAAAAAAAACTAAAATCTTGTAGATAAATAATTAAAAACTTCTGACAGAGTTTGTTGATTTTTTTTTTTTTTTTTGGAAACAGCTTCACGTTTGAAGAGCTCATGTTTCAGGGGCAACAGGGGTCCTGTCT